CCATAAAAGAGGTTGCGGTAATTTTCCGTTACCCTTTTTTTTCGGAAATCTTCTCGGGTCTTTCTTTTGACCCACGCTGTTATTTTTCGCCCGAGCGTTATTTCATTGCGCGATTTGTCTATGGAGAGTGCGGTTTTGTATCAAATTTATGCGTTTTAAGAATATAGCTTTGTTTTTTTTCTAAATGCTTTTAATTGCTTAGCATATTTAAATGTCCCTCTCAACAAAGGGTGCGAAATTACGTGCTTATCGTGAGCTGTACGATTATTTAAAGCTATTTACGATTCTTAACATATTTCATTGTAAAAGGTAATGTCTTCTAGTTTATTTTTACTTTGACTGAACAAAAACATTTTTTGTTTTTGTTTCTTTTAGAAATTTAGAAATTTCATACATGCCCACAGGACCGTGTATTCAAGCAAACAAAGCCCTTACAAAAAAAACAAATGCAAAATATTGAATGTATAAAAAAATATTTTTTTATTCAAGATTTTCCAATTGGGAAAGACTCTTTCAGGTATCTTCTACAAGCATATGTAAAGTCACTTCTGAGTGACTAAAAGAAGTGACTACGGCGACACTTCTAGAAGTTACTTCGGCGATATCGCATTCGGATCCCTGAAGTGACTCCCGTCGGGAAGAAATGTGCCACTTCGGCGGCACTTCTCGGAGTCACTTCGGCGACACTTCCAGAAGTGACTTCGCCGAAGTGGCACATTTCTTCCCGACGGGAGTCATTTCCGCGATCCGAATGCGATATCGCGGACGATCGTTTTCATCTTCTAGAAGTCACTTATAGTGCTTTCCGCGATAGAAAATTCTTGCAAGGTAGTCGATGTAGCCATGTCCGTCTGTCCGTCCGTATGAACGCTGAAATCTCGGAAACTATAAAAGCTAGGAAGTTGGGATTTAACATGTAGATTCTTGAGCTTTTTGCGCTGACTCAACAGTCTAGCACCCACATTTCTTTACTTCTCTGGAATATTTTAAAAAGGATTTTGTTCCTATCAGTACCAATACACATGCCTATAGTTATTGAAATCGGACCAATCATTACAAAGTTATAGCCAAGTAATAGTCAATATTTAGAAAATTCAGCAAATCAGATGTCTTCACTAAGTCATCATCAAGCCGCTAAGGGCGCTTTGGGCTAGCCGGTGGCGCTGGATATGGCTAAATGGCGCTAGCTACAAGCAAGCATATCTCCATCCCTCCCGCGCTCTCTTTAACTGAGTAACGGGATTTAATTGTCGATACCATCGACTATAGCGTTTTCTCTTGTTGCATTTTTCATTTTTATCACAAAAAACTAAAACTAATACGTTGAGCTAATGTGCTTGGTGTGTATGTACTGATCAGCAACTTTTTTGGTTAAGCCTAGTACTCAAATCGACGAAAACCGCGAGCTAACCGTAGGAGTGAGCGAGAGACAAATAAGCGGCTATCGCTTTATGTCGGATCTGTTATTCAGCGCGGTACTCAGATGAGCTACGGAAAAACCAGGAAAAATACCAGATTTAGCGAGTGAATTTCGATGAACGCCGTTAGCCGCGGCCCAAAGAATAAGAAATTTAATCTTTGGCAGTGTTCGTGCAATAGCGGTGTGGAATTTAACAATTAAAAATGGAAGGAAAACCCCTAAGGGAGGTCAGTGCAGATGAAAAAGGAAGGAAAGGAAATTATCATTTGGAGCTGAAAACAATTCACATGCTAGCGTTCAAACTGTATTTAGTTTTGCGAAGTCTTGCATTTTATTCGGAACATCTGTTAATACGTGCACGTCATATCCCTTCGGATACGGTTTAATTATGCTGATCAGCTATTCGCTTCAGCTTGCTCTATTTGAACAAAATTCCGATTAAAATAGCAACAGCGATATTAAGCGGCTGTGTGCAGAGCCTATAACTTAAATTCTTTAAGTACTGAATGAAAATAGTGAAATACTGAATTTCTTGAAATTCAAGGGGTTTTCATAATTTGTATATGTTACAGTTAGAAGGAAGCGTTTTCGATCCTAAAAAGTATATATATTCTTGATCAGGATCACTAGCCGAGTCAATCTAGTTATGTCCGTCTGTCCGTATGAACGCTGATATCTAGAAAGTTCGGATTTGGCATGATTTTCTGGCTTCCTACGCAGAGCAAGTGTGATTTAGCAGGTTGCCACGCCCACTATAACGCCTACAGTCTCCCATAACGCTAAAACACATCATTTTGTAAAAATTTAAATGAGGTTCTGTTCTTATTATCAATACCCACCTTCATGCCAGAAATTATTCAAATCGGACCATTCATTACAAAGTTATAACCAAACAATAATAAAAAATTTGCAAACTCAATACAGTGCGGTAGGGATGGAGATATATTACGACAGAAAATAGGCATTATGTGACGTGTAAGTGAAATCTCGTAAACAGCTCGGAATGAACGATGCGTGGCGATTTTAAGTTGGCTGCGTAACGGGTAACTGATAGACTTTTTCTTATATAGGGATATATTCATACAGGGCATCGGCTGCTTACGAAATTTCCCTAGCGCCACCTAGGTTTCACATTATGTGTCGTGTCAGTGAAATCTCGTGAACAGCCTATAGGAATGAACAACAGGTGGCGCTGTTTTGTTAGCTGCGTAACCGGTATCTGATATTCGAGACCGTCGACTATAACGTTTATTTTGAATAGAATTGTTGCAGATTTGATTTTATTGACGCATGGCCCTTTAATGTCATTAAGATGGAATACTACTTTTTCCTAGTTAAAATTTTGTAGAAATATTGATATGCTCTTATTCAAGTACCAACCTCCAACTTATGTCCTTCTTGGCAAGACATGTTTCACCAAAACATACATTTTATATCCAAAGCAAAAAGCCATTTGCAGGCGAATACACCTCCCAAATGTTGTTGTTAACGTCAGTTAACGAAGCTACTATTTAATACTACAACTTTTGAAAATTTCCGAGGCTTCATTGTTTTCCCAAAATAGACCCATTCATTTTTTACTACTGTTGCCTGAATGGAAATCTTATTATTGAATAATTTGCCAATAGCAATAAAAAATCATTGGATTTGAAGTCTAATGCAATAGGTAAAACATGCTTTATATACTGAAAACTACCAACAACAAATACCAAAGACCCAACAAAGACTATAGTTTTGCCAACCTCTTGTTGGCAATGCAAAACCTATGTAAAAAAAAGAGGAAAGCTGTTCATAGGAAAACCCGCTTTTGGGGAAACAGCTGATCGGTTTTCACGTTAATAAAGGGGACAAAGAAAAACATTATAGATAGAGATAATCCGCAACCCGTTGCCAGGCCTTGCTAAGGAGTACACTAACTATAGTTTGGCAGCTCGCTTAGAAAAAGTATAGCATCAGAGGTCGATAAGACTATTTTGAAATTGGACGGTCCATGACACCATTTTTGTCTTTCAGGACTCTCGTTTTCCAAAGATCATTTACTATTACAAGGCTTTGAACTCAGCATTTGATCTCATCTTTAATAGAATAATGGTTTGCTATTTTTTTTCTAGAAATTACCAACTTCCAGCACTTTTTTTTTGGCAAGACCCAGCCCTTTTTGCCCCAAATTTGAAACTTAAATTTAAAAAGGAGGAGTCTGCTGGTACACAAAGAAATTAAAATAAAAATAAATGGAATGTTCGACGAATGTTTTTATTTATGAAAATTAGTAGTTTAAAGCTTCCTTTTCGTCCCACGGATGCTTCGCCATCTTTCCCGCTCCACCGCAGTCCAGCTCCGAGTCTCAGGCATATTGGACCTTGAGGAAGTGGGAGCCGGATTGGGAACGGGGTTGATCCGCTGATGCTGCAGGAAGCCGCCCAGCATCCTGGCAGTGGCTGGCTATGGCTTCTCCAACTGTTCCTTAGCGGGCGCCCAATTTTCCTCCTCCCTATAGAAGCCAGCGGGTCCTCCAGCTCCGCTTAAGCTGCCAAGTAGCTGGTGGTGGTGGTGTCCGGAGTCCTAATGGAGAGGTCGTCGGAGATCGTATTACTGGTGGTTCTGCTAAAAAGATACTTCTATTAGTACAACGCGACCAAATTCTTTTGGCCAGATCTTACTTTCTTTGCGAGGACGCGCCCGGCAGGATGTCTATGTAGAGATCGAAGTCCCACTCGGCATGTTCCATCCCACTGGGATTCTCTAGTGGATCTCCTCCAGCACTTCAACTATTCTGCGAATTTTCCCCTTTTGTGGAATTGCTTCCTGTCGGTGAAATCCCGCAATAAAGGGCATAAGCTTGGGTTTGGCGTCCTATTTCATCTGCTCTGACCTTCTGGATTCGATTTTGGGGATTTCCTTCCATTTTTAATTTTTAGTTTCCACATCGCCTTTGCACGAACACCGCCAAAGATTAAATCGAAAATTCACTCGCAAAATCTGGTATTTGTTCTGGTATTTCCTTAACAGACCCGACGAAAAGCGTTAGCCGCGTATTTGCCTCTCGCTCACTCCTATGGTTAGCTCGCGGTTTTCGTCGATCTAAGTACTAGGCTTAAATTCTTAGAAATATTTTATGAATGAAATGAGTGAGATACTGAATATGTTGAATTTAGGGCGATTTTTACATTTTTTATTGTTGAACTAAATTAATATAAATACCTACATTTGATTAAATTGACGCAAGGCTCTTTAATGTCATTAAGAAGGTTACTAATATTTCCTTGCTAAAATTAATTTTTAGAACCCATTTATATCGTTAACCAATATCGATTTTGAGTGGTGTGTGACCCAAGTTTTCAAAGTTCACCCGCAATGCATGTACCATGGTCTTTCTATCAAGCAGCCGGGCTTGTTGACAAACGGAAAAGAAATCAATTGGAGCAATTTAAAAAAGAAGAGTCTGCCGGTGCACAGAGAAATTACCAAAAAATTAATTGAAATGTTCAAAGAATGTTTTATTTATGTAAATTAGTAGTTTAAAGCTTTTTTCTCTTCCCACGAATGCTTCACCATCTTTTCATCTACAGTCCAGCTCCGAATCCCAATAGACATTATGGACCTTGAGGAAGTGGGAGCCGGATTGAGAACGGGGCTGTTCCGCCTGATGCTGCATGAAGTGGCCCAGCATCCTGGTAATGGCTCCTCCAGCTGCGGGCGACCTTATTTCCTCCTCCCTATAGAAGCCGGCGCGTCCTCCATCTCCGCTTTATAGGGTCTTCCCACAGAGATCCATCCACCAACTACCATCCGTTGAACGGATGGTCCATAAGGTTTTGCCGTTCTGAAAATTTCCCAGTTAGTTCCCCATCCAATTTTAACGGACTACTTTATGCGATAGTTAGGCGATAATTTTGGGTGGAAACCCTAAACTCTTCTTCTTGAAAGTGGAAAGTGGAACATTCACTACAAAAACGTAAACAATGATGACGGGAAACTTTTGAAAATGGAAGGCGACAAAGCAATAGGTATGAACATAAATGCTCTTTATATTTGTAATAATTCATTGCTTTTAATTTTACAGTCAATAATACGCGAACTGCCGGTGGCAAACTGAGGTGGGCTAAGCAGATGGAGGTCCTGCTCATCGACATTTGGCAGGAGAACATCGAGGAGTTGCGCGGAGCCAGAAAAAATGTCCATATATACATGGAGATGGCCCAGACCCTAATGGAAGCTGGGTTTGATGTGTCCTACAAGGACGTCCGAACGAAAATAGAGAACCTTACCAAAAAGTACAGGTAACTTATATGCGCGCAACAACATATTGGAAGTCCACTCAACTATACTTTTCCTTGCAGGCAGGAAAAAAATAAACTGGGGCCAAGCGGTGGCGCTCCTTCCTCGTGGCAGCATTATGAGTTGGTCCACTCGTTTTTAGGCGCATACCGCATCCACAATATGGAGCAGAACACCTTGGAGAACGAGAGTATGTCCCCACACTTATATTTTCGGTTTAAAATTATTTTAAAAAATTTATTTATTGCAGATACTAGGGAATACTTTGTGGAGCTCTTGGATGTCGGCCCAGATGACAGGGAAGCCTCTACCCGCAGCGGCAGTCAACGCTCAGGCAGCACTGCGCCCCTGCTAAGCGCGCAAAGGTGGACCATAAGTCGGAGCTTGTAGAGATTGCTCGAGAAAGACTGGAGGAGCAGAGGGCGCAGACAGAAATATTGTCGAGAATGGCAGACAGCCAGGCAAAATTCCAATCTGATTTTTTGGAGCTTTTAAGAAAATCAACTAATTCCTAATAAATTTATAATTTATAATAAATAGACCAAAATGAAATGTGATATTATAATTAAATAAAAAAACAAACAGATTTATATTTTATGAACTTTATTTGTTACCATTTAGACAATATTGGGAAATAGCTGCGCATATTTTTTCTGCAGGTTGGCTAAAATCTGCAGACATATTAGTCCGATTTGGTTGTTCGCCTAGGTCATGCAGCCTGTTGCCAAGTTTTATTTATAGCGCTGTTGTGCTCATTTAAAATGTTGTGCAAAATGCAGCAGGCTAGAATAACTGCATTATTATTCTTGTAGTGGCTGTCAAGACCTTTCCCAATAAACCGAAATCTTGCCTTTAAATGGCCAAATGCATTTTCTACCACTCGCCTAGCTTTAGACAGATTATAGTTAAAATTTCGCTGTTCTTCGGATGCAGTTGTGGAAAATGGGTCCCCAATAAGCAGCACCGGAACTTGAACGCCACAAATTTCCCTTGTTATTTCGTGAAGAAACGAAGAAGACACAATTTTTCTTGCCAGGCTCGACTTTTGAAATATAGTGGAGTCGTTGCAGCGCCCAGCAGAGCCGATGTTTACATAGGTAAATCTGTATCTGTAGTAAATTTAAAATACAATGCGTTTAGAACATTGTTGAGCTCTTAGAAGAACGCAGTTTACCTGTAATCCACGAGAGCGAATAATACTATTGAGTACCAGCCTTTGTAGTTGTGGTGATCGACTGCTTCTGCTGCTGACGGTTTTATTTCGATGTGACAACCATCTACACATTATACATCTATACATCTATGCATTATACATTATACATTGCTATGACCATAAACTGATTTAATGAATTTATGTCTTACCAATTGCACCTAGACACTGGAAAAATCCGATTGCTTCGAATCCTTTGACACACTCGTCCACTTTTTCTGGAGAAAGATAGTCCGGTGACATGAACTCGCTGGCAAACTCAAAAATGAGTGCACGGCAAAATTCGTGGAGAATTTTGCTCACAGTGTTCTGTGCAACTCCAAAAAGCCTTCCGATGAAACGATATTCCGCTGATGATCCCAAGGTGTACAAGACTATAGCGATCCGCTTTTCAAGAGGAACGGCATTTCGCCAGTTGGTGTCCTTCTTCCGCAAAACACCAAGTCGGTCCACCAAAAACGAAAAGGTCCTCTTCTCCATAAGTAAGCTCTCTTTGAAGAACTCGTCGTTGTTTTCCGGTATATCCTTCTCCCAAAATGTCCCGTATCGCTTATGTTTATTATAATTCGCACTCTTAAATCGTATTTTTAATACATTTTAAGAGCACGTACCAGCATCCACACACTTCGTGGCATTTGCTCTTTTGCAGAAAAAATGCTTTCGTACACATCCAATTCGTCGTCATTCCACTCCTCTGAATTGGCTGCCAATAACAGCTGATTCAACTTAAGATTTTGCTGTTGTACAGCAGCCAAAATAATTGGTAAATTGTTCATTTTGGTCTGGCAAAAGCCACTTTAACAATTTTTGCTTGTGTTTTTATTAGTCACAGCTGAACGACAGCTGTTGTCGGATGGTAGATGGTGGATGTGCCCTGTGGGAATCGGAGTTTCACATTTGTCAAAAATCCCAACCGTTTCTAACGAATGGACTGTATGGGAAGGGGGTATTAGCTGCCAAGTAGCTGATGGAGACTGAGTCCGGTGGTTCCTCAATGGAGAGATCGTCGGAGCTCGAGCGAAGTCCCACTCGACATGTTCTTCCCACTGGGATTCTCTAGTGGATCTCCTCCAGCACTTTAACTATTCTGCGAATTTCCCCTGTTGTGGTATTGCTTCCTGCGGTGAATTCCCATAGTAATGAGCAACAGCTTGGATAAGGCGTCCCTTTTTCATCTGCACTGACCTCCCTTAGGGGTTTTCCTTCCATTTTTAATTGTTAAATTCCACACCACTATTGCACGTGAACCGCCAAAGATTAAATTTCTTAGTCCTTGGGCCGCGGCTAACGGAGTTCATCGTAATTCACTTGCTAAGTCTGGTATTTTTCCTGGTATTTTATTAGCTCATCTAAGTACCGCGTTGAAAAACAGACCTAACAAAAAGCATTAGCCGCGCATTTGCCTCTCGCTCACTCGTATGGTTAGCCCGCGGTTTTTGTCGATGTGAGTACTAGGCTTAAGTCAATAACCCAATAAGTCGATTAATTTGTTTGAAAAGGCATGGGAATATTCGACGAACGCAGTCAACAAAACCATACATTTTTTCTGTTGGGAACTGATATTATGGACACAGTGTTCAAAACATGTCATGAAACTATATATATATATATATATATATATGTATACAGACTTGGGAATGTTTAATATAGTTTCATGACCTGTTCGCATACAGAACAACCTAAGGTTGAAATCTTACAGATAATCTTGTTAAAATAATTGTTTATTTTTAGTAAAAAAAATGTGCTCCGGTTTGATAGAACTACCTATACGTATAAGCTAAGGCTTTATCAAGCAAATTTTTTATATTTTTGAAACCATTAAAAGCGAAAAATTGACTAGAACTTTCTGTTCTTCCAAATGAAAATTAAGAATTTTTAAATATAACAAATAAAATATCAAAAATAATAAGGAAGAACCGACTAACAGAAGAAAACAAATTTATCTTTTCCGCGCTTGCGCTGGTAGGACATTGATTTTCCGCTTAAAAGCCATTAACTAAAAGACGGAGCGTGACTTCGCAGTTCTTAAATTCTTATAATACTAAAAAAAATAATATTGCAATATGGGCGCCTACTTGTCACAACCGAATACGGATAAAGCGTCTACAGACGAATTCAATGAGTTGCTTGTCGTTGGTGCCAGCTCCATGCAGGGATGGCGGAACAGCCAAGAGGTAAGCAACAATAATTTTTTTTAGCTGGAAAACATTGATTTAAGTATATTTTAAATTTTTCAGGATGCGCACAATTCTATTTTAAATTTCGACGAAAATACCTCGTTCTTTGCCGTGTATGATGGACACGGTGGAGCGGAGGTAGCACAATATTGTGCCGACAAGTTTCCAGAGTTCCTCAAAAATCTTGAAACTTATAAAAATGGACAACTTGAAGTAGCACTCAAAGATGCATTTTTGGGATTTGACAAAACGCTGCTAGATCCATCGGTAGTCGGAATACTAAAAGAATTGGCAGGCGAACATAACTTCGTCGATGATGAGGAAGATTACGGAGATGATGAAGATTTGGCAGAGTTGCAAGAGGAGAGCAACTTGCCACTTAATGAAGTACTGGAAAAATACAAAGGGCTACCGCAGACACACGATTTGATCATTATGAATGCGGGGAACGAAGAGAATTTAAAATTGTTTTCGCCTTACTTGCGCGGTCGTCGAGCTGCAGCACTAGCCGCCGAAGCTGTTAATAAGGCCGTAATGGACCCCAAAGCTCAGCCAGATGGTTCTTCTACTTCAGCAGCAGCAGCTGCTGCTGCAAAACAGAAACCAATGTACGAACCTACTGACAGCATTAGCAACGGCAGCACTGTCAACCAATTATGCGTCGATAGTGTCTCATTCAAAAATGAGTCTTGTGATGATCAAATCGAAGAATCGAATGAGATGGTCTTTAAGCAAGAGGTGGTAATTTGTTCAGAGCCTATGGGAACAATAACAAGGGAAAAAGGGAACACCACCGAATCAAATAAATTAACCAAATCTGAATCTAACGACATCAGCAAAGTAAATCGAAATGGACAATCCTTAAAAAGCGAGCTCACGATTTCATCTACCAGTAACGATTTTGAAAAGGTTGAAAAAAAATATAATTCTCAAGAAGATGAGTCAACAGATGATGATGACTATGAAGAAAATGACTTGGTCGAGAGTCCCGATATTTCCTCCGGAGAAAGCTCCGAGGACTGTGCTGCAGACGATGATGAAGATGTAAGTTATTAAATCCTTTAATATACATAAGTTTCTATTTAAATTGTTTCTAGACAAATGAGGTTAGTGATGAAGAAGAGACGGATGAAGATCAGAGGGCTAATGATAATTTTTGCGCCAATATGATTGAAGAACCTGGCAAAGATAGTGGATGTACTGCTGTTGTCTGTTTGTTACATGGTCGAGATCTGTTTGTGGCAAACGCTGGAGACTCTCGATGTGTCATATCCCGCAGTGGTCGAGCTATTGAAATGAGTCTCGATCACAAGCCTGAAGATGTCGAAGAAGCCTCGCGCATTATTAGGGCTGGTGGTCGCGTCACTCTTGATGGCCGCGTAAACGGTGGCTTAAATTTGTCTCGAGCTCTTGGAGACCACGCTTACAAAACCAATCTTGAATTGCCAGCTGAAGAACAAATGATATCTGCTTTACCAGACATCAAGAAGCTAATTATTACGCCAGAGGACGAGTTCATGGTATTGGCATGTGATGGTATATGGAACTATATGTCCAGCAAGGAAGTCATTGACTTTGTACGGTTCAGACTAAAAGATAAAAGCAAGAAATTATCAAACATTTGTGAAGAGGTAAGTTTGTGCACTATAAAATACTATGTTATTATAACCATTGATCCTTTTAGCTTTTTGATAATTGTTTAGCTCCCAATACAATGGGTGATGGGACTGGATGCGATAACATGACTGCTGTGATTGTAAGGTTCAAGGAACAGCTACAAGAGGTAGAGGCTGCTATTCATCCAATCGAAACAGATAATTTTTTGGTTAACACATATACGCCAATTGAAAAAGTTTTAAACGTGAAAACTGACCAGAGTGCGATAAAGAGGCGCGCTTCGCCAGAAACCGTTGCTGGAGACACAAATTTAAAAAAAAAATTGAATCTAAATGGTTAAAAAGCAACACCGAGAAGAAAGAAAGCCCTAGTATGAAGCCCTAATAAGTCGCTATTGTTGTTAATTATTTGAAATTCGAAAGCGCTGTCGACTTATTCAACATCTGATTGTAGCGTACATTTTAATTGTAGTAATTGCAACTCATAGTGTTAAGTTCAAAAACCGGAAAACATTTAAAAAATCTATAGACTGCAGATTTATAAAAAACAATTATTCAATTATGCTGTTAAGTTCTTTCTTTCATAAACTATAAAGACCAATTGAAATGAAATATTCATAATGAACTGAATTTTAAGAATACGTACATAAAATTACACTAGCTTACAAAATAAATTTCATGTAATGCTACTCAGCCGTTTAGAGAAGTTCTTGTAACAGATAACCCCCAAGGCGACGAGAGTGCCAATAAAATTTTTATTTCAATTGCATTTGTTATTGATTTTATGTTTAAAATGTAAAAATTGTCATTTACTTAGTTTAGCCTGTCTCGAGTCGGGAACATCAAAAATATTATATTATTAACATAATATATTATTCAAAACGGTAAAATTTCGAATAAAAATCATAAGTTTAACTCACAACCCAGTAATAAAACTTAAAATCGATCACTGGCGGAACAAAAGCTTAGAGTTCTAACCAAACAAATGCCTGGTCTTTAAATATTTCACTTAGAGGCGCAAGGCATAGTTGCTATTTATATAAACAAGAAACTGAATGCTAAGAACGTACTATATGTGTACAATCAGAATCGAAAGCGATAGAATATAAATTCATGTAATGCTTTTTGATATAAGCCTATGTAGGCACATAGTTTACTAACATGCCGAACAAGTAAGGTTCTTGTTTTTTATGTTGAATGCTGATTAAACAAAAAAGAATCTGGAAATCAGCGGGTGAGTGAAGCGACAGTGGGGCATGTTCTATATCTGGTTAATAAAATTTAAATTTCAAAAGTGTCCATGTCTAACACTGCCGAGGATCCATAGGTCTGCAGGGTGTCGTCAGCGGAGACGACGTCGACCCAGAGGTGTGGCAAGTCGTCTGGCTAGGCGGTTTGAATGCACCAGTAAGCGATCCCTGTAGCGATTTGAGAATTTTGTTATCAACTCAGAAATGGTTGGTACTCCCGTGTCACGAAATAAAACGCCATTTTCGACATAATGGTGCCACTTCACCCCAAGCATCCTCCGTAGGGCCTTTGTGATACCAGTTTGAACTCTTCTTAACGACGTGTCGCAAGCGGGCCTCAGCATGTTATTCCCCAACTAAGGGTCTGGAGAACAATGGCTTTGAAGAACATGAAGGGATAATCCACTATCTGGGCGAAGTAGCCAGTCCATTTTCCAGTCCAGTCCAGTTTCGTCCTTGCTGACCCACAGTCTCGGTCGATCTGACTCTTCCAGCATAGACGTCGGTCTAGGGTAACACCGAGGTACGTTACTTTCTGCTCATGCTTAAGTCTATCACCATCTAAGTAAAGGCTATGGAAGCGGCCAGGTCGAAGAGCAGAGGTGACGTGTTGCGTTTTATCAACGTTCAGCTCAATATTCCATCGAGAGGCCCAACATTCAACATCATTCAATGCAGTATCATCTGCGTAGGTGGCAAGAAGAGTACCACGAGCTACTGGCTTTGGGAGATCAGAAGTGTAAATTGTGTACAAAACCGGGCCAAGGACGCTTCCCTGTGGGACACCAGCTCGAATTTGACGTAGTCCAGAAAGATGTCTACGAATGTCAACGGCAAACATCCTATTGTCCAGAAATGACACAATGAGCTTCCAAAGGCCCTCAGGCAATAGAGGCATTAGCTTTTAGAAAAGACCTTCATGCCAGACCCTATCAAAAGCCTGTCTGACTTTAAAAAAAACGGGCGACCAGTATTTATGACCTTCCAAAGCATCTAGAATGTAATTCACGACTCTGTGAACCTGTTCAGTAGCTGAGTGGCGACTACGGAAACCAAATTGATGGTTTGGTAAAGCGTCTTTAAACGTGTCAATATCCAGGAGTCTATTAAGTTCGATCCGCTCGTAAAAAACGTGGACAAAAGACTTATTGGCCTGTAGGACTAAGTCGAGCACGGATCTTTACCCTTTTTGAAGACCATTGTAACTAGAGCACGCTTTCAAGGGGATGGAAAATGGCCAAGGTTCAGTGACGCATTAAAGAGAAGGCAGAGCTGCTCAATGACAGAGTTAGGGAGTGACCTTGCAACTTTACCATCAATCTTATCCATGCCAAGAGCTTTCACGTACCTCCTCTTCATCCACTGGTCGCACAGTAACAGGAGG